TAACAGTGCACTGCCACAGGGATTCTGAGGGCTTCCTGACCTCCTGCACCCCTTCCTGGTGGGCACAGGTGCCTTCTGCTCCTGCTGGCTCTGGAGATGTGGTAGGTCCGTGTGGGAGAAGGCTCAGCAGTCCTCTCTTAGGTCAGGATCTGCAGTGCTACTGAAGGAAATTAAATAGGAAATATTAAATAGAAAGCATGGGGTTGAGGGGAAGGGATTCACAGCTCACAGACCTTGAGGCAGGATTTGTTTAGGGTTTTTTGGTTATTTTTCTTTTCTTTGCTTCCACAAAATTCTAGTGCTTTTTCTTGTATTTGTCAGTGAGGATTTTGCTGGGATGCATTGTGTGTCAGAGAGCTCGGGGTTTGTGTTGCTGACTAGAAAAATTGATTTTTATTTATTTGTTTATTTACTGCGGGAGAGAAACAAAGCTGTAAGTTTTAAGACTTTAGCTACTCTGGAGGAGTTTTATTTAGAGAAACAGCCTGATTGTGTTGCTGTGTGTGATTGACACAAGCTCCTCTAATCCTGTTGTCACTGTGAGCTCTGCAGCAGAGCCCTGGGATCTCTCACTCTGGTGCCCAGGTCACCTCGAGCCGTTCTCTGGCAGTCCAGGGTGCTTCTGCCCAGGGCTGGGTGCCGTGGCTTGCCCTGGAGTTCAGCTGCACATCACACAACCCTGGCACAGCACCAGCTACCTGCCAGCAGGAAAGACACAAACTGCAGGTTTTTGGGCACTTCCCGATTTCCTACCTTGCCTTGTTCCTTCTTATTTTGCCCTGCTTCAGAGAAGTCTTGGGTCCCAGGTGGTGCCCAAAGGTGGTGGCCATCCCTGGACAGTTTGGTGGCTGTGTAGGAGCCAGGGCTCTGCAGCAGCTGGACACACAGGGCTCAGCAAACTCCTCACTCAGCAGAGCCCGGGGCAGGGATATCGCTGTCCTGAAGTGGTTTTGGAAGGTGACCAGCTGGAACCTTCTTAATCCCTGGAGCAGTGAGATTCCCTGGGATCTGATCAGTGTGCTGAAAGCTGCCTGCTTGGTTGAGTACTTTCTATATTATTTTTTAAGCATAATAATTACATTGCTGTGATTGCCAAGGTAGAGGCACTCCTGCCAACGTGGTGGTGCCTCCTGCCAGCTGATATCTCCTGCCTTGGTTGGGGAGAGCTGCTGTGGTGGGAAGCACAGCCATGTGGATCCAGCCCCATCCATGCTGCTGGAGGTGTGGGGTTGTAGCCTGTTACCCCTTCCTTGCATCCCAAGCTGCCCTTGTTGTGTGCACCCCAAAAGAGGCTCCAGCAGCTCTCTGGTGGCAGGCTGCAGAGCAAAGCCCTGCATCACTGCTCCCTGTGAAGTGTCCCCCAAGAAAGCCCTCCTGTGGGTGGGTGCTGCCAGGTCCCTGGTTTTGGAGGAGCTCTTCTCCTGCAGGAAGGTGGCAGGCAATGTTTATCTCAGTTGTGTTTGCTGGGGCTGCAGAGTGACTGTGTTAGCACGCAGCAGATGGGCCTGGTGAATAGGTGCTGGAGATAACCCTGTTTCCTCACGCAGCATTGCTGCCTGCTGGGAAAGGAGCCAGCCAGGCTGTTTAAGGAGAAGTGTGGAGCTTGGACAGGCTGAGGATGAATTTCTCCTTCAGCTGGTTCAGTTTTGGGAGGAGGTTGTTGCTGTGGTGCAGAGGCTGCTGCCACAACCCACCACATTCTGGTACGGGTTGGACCATGCAGAGGCAGGTTCCAGCCTGGTGCCCACTGGGATCTTCAGACCCTAAATTTAATTCCATTCCAGACAGGGACTGTAAATGTCTGTCAGTCCTAGGCAGGGGTGTGAGGAAAGCAGGCTGCAGGCTGGTGTCCTGCCAGTTGCCAGAGCTAGGGGATTGGTGGTTGGGAGCCCAGAACTGTGGGGCACAGCTGAAGGTTCGTGTCCCATGTGCTGTGCTGTGCTATGTGTCTCCCACTCACTTCCAGGGAAAACCGTGTGGCTGCTGGGCATCACAATGTGCAACAGAAGGCAGGGAAGTCTCCTGCCAAAGGTTGTCACACTGGTGGCCCAGCCACTGTAGAACCTTTGAGGGAAGTGCTGATGGCCCTTTTGGAAGGCTTTTTGGCTTTCCCAAGAAAGTCAAGTAGGTGGAAATCCCAGCAGCAGTTGGACAGTGTTAGGGGCTGACTCCTGTTGCATGGAGTGAAGAGATGGGACCAGGAGGGGGACAGCGTGACCAGAGAATGTCAGAGCTCCCCAGGGCCATTCCAGGACACTTCAGTGTCCTGGCTTCCATCTCCCTTCCAGCTGCCTGGAGCCTGGATCTCCTGCCCAGCCAAGTGAAATGGTGCAGCCTTCCCTGAGCCTGCAGCTTGTTGCTGATGCCACATCAAGCAGTTCTGGTGATGCAGCTCACCCCAATGTCCCCTCATGTGGAACCTCTGTCTTGTAGGTTATCCTGGGTTTTCTCCTCTCTGTGGGAAGGGCCAGGGTGGTTCCTTCCACGGTCCTGTGGTGGCATTGCTAGAAGTCTTTGCCTGCTGAGTGGGACCATGGATGTGTAAGGGATGTGCAGGAAGAAGATTGGTGGCTGTATGTCCCAATCCACAGAAGGCACTGCGGCATCCGCGCTTTGGGGTGGATTTTTTGGAGCCAATGCTCTCCTGCACTGTGTACACTGGATAACAGCATGGAACACTGCAGGAGGAAGGAGGTGGATGGCACAGGTTGCTGACAGCCTTCCCTTGCCTTTTGCTGATACCTGTGGTTTGATGAACCTCACCCAGTAAGACAAATGGAAGTGACAGCATCACGGTGCCCTTCATGGCCCCATTTGCTGCCAGAGCCGGGCAGCAGCTCCTTCCCCTCCTCCGCTTGAGGAATGATCTCCCTTTCAGATGTTGTGGACACGGTGCTGCCACAGGGGAGAGGGATGTACAGTGGCTCCCAGCTGTAGGACTTGAGGCAGAAAAATCAATGTTTATATTTCTCTTAGCTGGGAATAACTCCAGTAAATAAACACCTTGCAGAGTTCAAACGATGCAGGCACCGTACATGAACCAGAATGAATTTTCAAGCTCTCTCTTGCAATAAAATGGATTTCTTGATTTCAGGCTTTATTTAGAGAAACGTTTGATTTAAGAAGGGAGTTGAAGGTTATATCTGATCTCTGTGAGGTGGAGCTGCTCTTCCAATGGCTGTGGAGCATGGTGTGGAAATGTGGTTGGATTGCTGCTGCTGCTGGAGTGTTCCCAGGAGAGTTTCTCATGTACCAGCCAAAGGGAGGGTCACTTCCCTCCTCCCCAGGGGGGTTCTGCCTGCATCCTCTGCCCCTCCAGACCTTGCTGCTGCATTGCAGTGTGCTCAGAGCCTAGGGAAGCTGTGTGTGCAGGTGCTGCTGCTTGGGATTCTGGAGGCCGGCCAGGACCCGGTTCCTTCCACGGGCTGCACCGGCGTCTCAGAGCTGTCTGTGCCTGCCCTTTATGGGATTAAACACCCTGCCTCCCTTTGTTCCAGCCAATGTGGTGGTTGAACTCGGCTGTCAAAGGCACGCTGGAGAGGGAGCCAGTGGTGAGCCCACTGAGGTGCAGCTCCCATGACTTAGGCTGCTCTTGGTCTCTGGAGGTCTGGCTTTGCTGTTCCTGGGAAGAGTTGAGGGCACGGGATGGACTTGGAGACTTCTTCTGCACAGCTGACCCTGTCTGTGGTGTCAGGCAAGCAGAGCAGGGTGGAAGGGATTGGAAGGGGCCTGCTCTGCTGGTAAGAGGCACAGCTGACCTGGAGCTGGGGTTCAAGGCTGGGTTTAAAGCTTGGCCATCTTATCTGGGGGCAGGAGTGCATGAAAGGAGGGCTCCAGGCTCCTGGTGCAGGTTTAACTGAGGGAGAACTGGTTTGTCCTTGTGTGAAGGAGGAGAAAACGCTGCTTTAGCCCCACCTTTGCTCCAAGATGCAGGAAATGACCCCGAGCAGGGGACAAAGGGCACCATGCAGGGCTGGGTTTGTTCTCAGTGTGAGTGCATGGCATCCTGAAAGCACCGGGAGGGCTGCACGGGGGAGGGGAGAAGGCTGGTCCCTGCAACCCAGGGATTGCCATGGTCTGTGGAGCTGCTGCTGCTGTGCTTTCTGAAAACTGAAGCTGCCTAGAAAACGTCATTGTGACTCCTGCCCCGGGACGAGCTTGTTCTGTCGTGTGTTGGACCCAGTCCTCTGTCAGGGTTTCAGGCATTCCCAGGCAACGCTGGAGGTTGGTGCCAAGGGTTGGTGCAGCCAGAAGGGCATTATGGCCTCTCTATTTCACAGATAAGTGGGGAGGCAGCTGGAGCTGGGACATGGTGCCTCTCTTTGCTGAGCTGGGAAGGTGCTGGTGAGCTGTCCTGGTCAGCACCAGGTGCACCATGGAGCTGCTGCTCCCAGGCTGGCTGAGCCAGGCTTCTGGCCCCAAAACCTACAGCCGGGTAGAAACACCTGTGCACATCAAAGCCTGCCTTCCTTGGCTTAGTGGTGGCTGGTGTGGGTTAACACAGTTATCCCAGTGTGGATAAGTGGTGTGGAGCTGAAAAGGGAGGAGGGAGACAGGAACAGGAAGTGAAACAGAGGTGGGGGGGGAGTAGAGAAGGAGGAAAGAGCTGATTCTGGAGCAGCAAGAAGGCAGAGCAGGGTGTCACCTCCTCCAAAGAGTTTCAGACGATGTACAGACACACTAAGTTGCCAGAGTTGGTGGGCACAGAGATGGTGTGTTTGCTCACCAGGGCACAACCCCACTGTGAGAATGGGATCAGTGGGTTCTGGGCTACTATTTTGCATTTCCTGGAGCATTTTGGATGGAAGCCTATGTATTGCCATGCACTTGGAGAATTTGTCAGTGCCAGAGGAGCAAGTGCCTGTAGAGCAGTGACTGCATTGATGGTTGTTCCCTTCCTGGAAGCAAGGTCCTGACCATGCCAACCCAGGAAACACATGGTACCACTGCATATTGGGAGGCCTTGGCCTCAGCCTCACACTGTGTCTTCTTTCTTGCAGCCACTCCCACTCTCCTGGCTCCATGGCTGCTGTCCGCGAGTGGTCCTGCACGCGCTGCACCTTCCTGAACCCCGTGGGCCAGCGGCAGTGCTCCATCTGCGAGGCCCCTCGCCAGAAACCCGACCTCAACCACATCCTGAGGCTCAGCGTGGAGGAACAGAAATGGGCCTGTGCCCGCTGCACCTTCAGGAACTTTCTGGGCAAGGAAACCTGTGAGGTGTGTGGCTTCACCCCCGAGCCGGGACCCAGTGGCTCCCCCTTGCCCGTCATCAACGGCATCTTGCCCAAGCCTGCCGTGCTGGTGGAGCCCAAGGGCACGTCCAAGGAGGAGGCTGCCAAGGCAGAAAGCAGCAGCGAGGACTCAGAGGGGAAGAGCCCCGATGAGGCAGAGCTGGAGAGCGGCTGGGCTTGCCAGCGCTGCACCCTGCACAACACGCCCGTGGCCAACTCCTGCTCCGCCTGTGGTGGCCCACGCAAGCTCTCCCTGCCCAAAATCCCACCAGAGGCGCTGGTCGTCCCTGAAGTCATCACCCCAGCCGGATTCCACATGGCCCCCTCCACCCCGCAGCCTTTAGTCTCCGCAGAGATCTCTGACGGCGATGCCGTGGCCACTCAGGGTCCAGTGGCAATGGAACAAGAGGCCCAGAAGATACCAGCCTTCAGCCCCTTCTCCCCCGGGCTCCAGAACAACCCCGTGCCCCGAAGCCGGCGGGAGGTGCCCCCACAGCTGCAGATACCGGGCTCCGAAGGCTCCCAGCCCGCGGCTACGGGTGCCGTGGGGCAGAAGGGCTCTCCCCAAGGCCAGGCCAGGGCTGCCCCTGCCGCACGCTTCCCAGACCTGCTGTCCAACAAACGGCTGAGCGTGCTGGAGGAGGAGATGGAGGTCAGTCCATCCCACTGGAAGTGCAGCTCCTGCTCCCTGCTCAACTCCGCCGGGGCCGGCAAGTGTGAGGTTTGCAGCACCCAAAAAGGCAGCGACACCATCAACCTGGTGGGGGACTCCGTGAGGTTCACCCCGTGCAGCCCCTCCAGCCCCGACTTCACCACCTGGTCGTGTTCCAAGTGCACCCTCAAGAATCCCACGCAGGCCCAGAAGTGCAAGGTGTGCGGCTCCTCCAAGCTGCACGGCTTCCAGGAGCACGGGGCTCCGGGCGAGGCGGCCCCGCGCTGCCCCGACTGCGACAGGGCCGGCTGCTCCTGCGGCGCCAAGGCCCCGTCGGCGCGCAAGGTCGCTCGGCTCTTCCCGGCCCCGCTGCCCGGCGGGCAGGACAGGCCCGGCCAGTGGGCCTGCCCCGCCTGTACCCTGCTCAACGAGGTGAAGGCCAAGCACTGCGGCGCCTGCCACACCCCCCAGCAGTACGTGGCCCAGCACAAGGGCCTCAAGCCCCTCAAGAGGAGGGAGAGCATGCATGTGGAGAAGAGGAGGCAAACAGATGAGGGCGAGGCCAAAGCCCTGTGGGAAAACATTGTGACCTTCTGCCGGGAGGTGAGTGCTTGCTTGTTCCTGCCTCCCCCATAGGTCTGGGGCAGCACCTTCTGTGCCTTGGGGTATAGGGATCTTCCCTTGCAACAGCTAGGTGCTGGTTGTTAGCACTGAAATGTCATATTTTGGTGCAGAATGATCTGAGACAGCCAATACAGCCTGGTGCAAGAGTTAGGAAGTCTAAAACCTAGTGCTAAACCTGTTAACTCTGAAACCCAGTGGTATTTAAATCAGTGAGAATTTATGAGATAAATGGGACATCCTTAGGTGGTCAGTCCATCTCCTTCCAGTGTCTAGTGGTGGGAAAGCTGGGGGATGTGTCCAGGTTGGCTGGTGGCACTGCTGCCTGTGGATGCAGGAAATCCGGGATGCAACAAGCAGAGGCTCAGGATGAGAGTGCAGGCAGAACTGCTGCCATTGCCAGCGACTGCAGGTGTTTTCAGAACCACGGGCTGGGCCGTGGTGTTCTCGGTTTGGGTGTTTCAAATGCAGAGATGCAGCATGAATGACTGCCCCTGTTCTGGGCAGGCCAGCTGAGCTGGAGCTGAGCCTGGCTCTAGTTAAAGGTCTTAGGAGTGCGTGCTAGCACCCACCTTCCCACTGTGAGGTATCTGCTCCAGTCAGTTTGGCTTCAGCCTCAAACACCACTCCGATGGCCTCATTTTTTCCCCTGTATGGCATTAAAAGCTTCTGTGAATGCTGCCTTCTCTGGCCTCCTTCTGGGGGAAGCCTCCAGCTCTTCTGGACCAGATGGGAAGGGAGTTGCAGTCCCATTTTGACGTACAGACAAGACTTTTCCTGCCTGGTCTGAGGATTGTGCCCATTCCTATGCCTCCACTGTACAGTCCAGGGAACAGAGATGTTTGGCTTGGAGGGGAAGCTCTGAGAATGATCTTATTTGGGCTTGTGGTTTTTTTAAATTGCTGCATGTCCTTCCTAACAGGCGTGGGTGTCTTTATAGCAGAGACCCAGATTCTGCTTATCCCCGTCCTTTAAGCAAGTGAATAGCCTCTTTTGTAGGCACGGAACATCTGTTACATCAGGAATCAGGCCTGGAGGATGAATCACAATGATGGCCAGGCTGAATTAGTAGCGTGGCACTGCCAGGAAGGGGAGCCTGCCTTGCCCTGTCCCAGCCTTGGATGAGCCTATTGTGCTCCTTAACCCACCAGTAATGAGCTGTTAGATCTGTGTGGGCCACCACCCAAAAATCCCCCTGCACCCAAACCTCATCTGTGCTCTGGCACTGTTTAGGTCCGAGGTTAGGCCTGGCAGCAGTGGAGGGATGATGCTGCTCCCCTCCTTGTGCTCCTCTGCTCTGTGTCCCTCCCAGTGCTCTGCTCAGGCTGGGTGTGTGAGGCAGCCTCCAAGCTCCCTGCTGCCCCAGCCTTTCCCAGGCTGTTCAGCTTTCCCCTGGGGGAGTCAGGCTGGCCAAGTTCTGCTCTGTCTGTTGTCTTCCTGCCCCATGTCATGTGGAGCAGCTCCCTACCAGGATTTCTGCTCGAGCTCCTCTGTGGATTTTCCTTCCTCTGCTATTCCAGGGATGCCTTTTCCAACTTTTCTCAGTGTTTGGTCCCTATTTTAGTTTTACCCTTTCTCTTTTGTTGGGGAGCAGTGCAGAGCTGACCTCTTCCACTGGAATCATGGAATCATAATTTGGTTTGGAGGGAACCTTAAAGCTCGTCTTGTTCCAGCCCTGCCAACTCACCTCACCTTCCACCAGACCAGGTTACTCCAAGTCCTGGCCTGGCCAAGCCTGACCCTGGACACTTCCACAGATGGGGCAGCCACAGCTTCCTTGGGCAGCCTGTGTCAGGACCTCCTCACCCTCACAGGGAAGAATTTTTCCCCAGTATCCAAACTAAATTTCTCCCCTTTTAGTTTAAAGCTTTCCCCTTGTCCCATCACTGCTCGTTTATGTGAAAATTTGCTTTCCTTCTCATTAATAAGCCCCCTTTAGGCATTGGAAAGGGTTCTAAGGTGTCCATGGAGCCTTCTCCAGGTGAACACCCTCAGCTCTCCCAGCCTGGCTCCAGAGCAGAGGGGATCCTGCCCACGGAGTGCCTCCACAGCCTCCTCTGGACCTGTTTGAACAGATCCCCATCTTTCTTGCGCTGAGTCCTCCAGAGATGGACAAAACTGGGGTCTCACAAGGCAGAGCAGAGGGGGAGAATCCCCTCCCTCCTGTCCTCATAGCAAGTTCCTGCAGAGCCCAGAGATCCATGTGCAGGGATGGGTCACATCCAGGACCCCAGCCAGGATGTGAGGAATGCTGGAATGGTGACGGCTCCTCAGCTGCACGGGCAGATGCTCCCCTGAGAGAGCAGGACAGCTATTAGCTGAAAAACACCCTCCTGCAAAAGAGGAGCTGGAGGTGCTAATTGAGGCACCACAAAGGAAGCATTCATGTAGGATTGCCACAGAAGAGGAGGTCAACTGCTGGTTCAGTGTGCATAAAGCTAATTTAAATCAGAGCCAGCTTTTGCGGAAAGAATTTAATTTAATTTAATTTAATTAACAATAACAAAGAAACACCTGTTCTCATTTCACCCTGTGTTAGACTGAAAAAGCCACCCGTCTCCACTTGGTGAAGTTCTGTGCTTCCATCCACGTGGTTAATGCCTATGGAATTACCTGCCCTTCCACTCATCCTATTTATTTATTATGCAGCAGGTATTGCAGGAGGGCTGGGACGTGGGATACCCTCACTGTGGAATTGCTTGCTTGGTTGTGGTCTGGCTGAATGCAATTGCAAAAGCTGCCCCTCCCAACCCCATGGATGTGCCTGGGGGATGGCACAGGGCTGCCAAGCCCAGCGTGTCCCCTCCGGGGCAGGGGCAAGGCTCGGGTTGAGGTGTGTTTGTGTGCCAGGTGGCTCCTCTCAGCCTTGCTGTTCGCAGGCTTTGCTGCTTCTGGAGGCAGCCAAGGCCCCCCACAGCCCAGCTTTTAGCACCAGCACAAAGTGTGAGACAGTCCCTGCCCGGGGAGGCTGCTGTGAAACAGAAAAAGGCAGATTGGAGTCACAGCCTGGAGCTTGGGGCCGGAGAAGTGAGCCTGAGGCAAGACTGAATGCTGGACTTGAAGCACAAGAAGTATTTCTGCTGCTACCAGCAGCCACCAGCTTGGTTCTGCCCTCCTGCAGGGCTGGAAGGGACTGCCTGGGCAGGGCTGGGGGGCTCTGCCGTCACTCAGGGGGGCAGTGGGAGGCTCTCCAGGCCCCCCGGTCCCAAGTGGCTCCAACTGATGCTCTCGTTGCCTTTTTCTCTCACAGAACAAAGTCAATTTCGTAGACGACAGCTTCCCCCCCGGGCCCAGGTCCGTGGGGTTCCCGGAAGGTGACAGCGTGCAGCAGCGGGTGAAGCAGTGGCTGCGGCCCCACGAGATCAACTGCAGCATCTTCAAGGAGCGCTCAGTGAAGTGGTCGGTGTTCCGCACCCCCCGGCCCTCGGACATCCTGCAGGGGCTGCTGGGCAACTGCTGGTAAGGGCGAGTGAGCCGGGCTCACACCTCCCCACCCCGTCCTTCTTCCTCACCTCTTCCTGCAGCTCCAGCTCGGCCCCCTCAGTCCTACTCTGTAAGAGCCTCCGGGCTCCAGGTGGCTCTTTAAAATGCTGGTTATTGTTTCTAAATGATCCAGCAATTCACGGGTCGTGGGTGACGAGAGCCCAGCCCACAGCGGTCAGCATCAGCTGTAGGCTCATCTGAAGCCAACTCTAGTTCTGGTTACAACGCATTATATACTTTTCATTGCAGATCATCTTAAAACATGGCAACAGATCAATACTTTTACTATTACCTATAGCCTGTCATAACTACTAACATTACCATGTTCATGTTACTATTTTCTAATTACAAAAAGTTAGTATGTTACAGTTTAAGCTGGAAGTTATTTTTCAGTTTTCTTGCAGTGGAAATTTTTGAGACCTTTTTTTCCTACTTGCAACATGGCATTTTTGTTTGCTTGTGAAAATCGTTTTGCTTAGTAAAAACATCTTTTGTTTGAGGTGGATTTATCCTTTGCTGAGCTGTAAAAACTCCTTTCGACTCATTTTACCCTTTGCCTTCTAGTTATCCAGTAAGACTGGCTCAGCAGTTCTTGTCTTCTAGATCAAAACTTGCAATCGTTTCTATTCCATCTTCAGATTTTACATTCAAAGATCTCTCTGCTATACATACAGATCTGTGAGGCCTTCTTGTCAAACTTTCGTTTCCCAGCCCTACTCAAAGCCATTTATGCCCCCAGGCTGTAGCCCATGCTCTGCCTCACCCCCTCCCAGCGCTGCGTGGCCGGTCAGCCCGTGCTGCCGGCCGTGCCCCGCTGAGGCTGCCCCGCCTGCCCGGCAGGTTCCTGAGCGCCCTGGCCGTGCTGGCTGAGCGGCCCGAGCTGGTGGAGAGGGTGATGATCACCAGGACTCTGTGCCCCGAGGGCGCCTACCAGGTGCGGCTGTGCAAGGACGGCACGTGGACCACGGTGCTGGTGGATGACATGCTGCCCTGCGACGAGTGTGGATACCTGCTCTTCTCCCAGGTCAGTGCCACGGAGGGACGGGTGGGCAGTGCTCCAGGGGTCAGGGACACTCATCCCAGGCTCTCCCAGGAGAGAGTGGAAAGAGGCACTGCTGGGTGTGAGGCCCCCGCTTGGTGCTGCCTTTAGAGTCATAGAGTCACCAAGGCTGGAAAAGGCCCCAAAGATCATCAAGTCAAACCACTGATCAAATACCCCCTGCCCACTAAACCCTGCCACAAAGCACCACATTGACTTGTTTTTTGAACACTTCCAGGGATGGTGATTCCACCAGTGCCCTGGACAGCCCATTCCAATGCCTGACCACCTTTCATTAAGGAATTTTCCCGATATCCAATCTAAACCTCCCCCGTGCAACTTGAGGCTGTCTCCTCTCATCCTGTCTTTTGTTCCCTGGGAGCAGAGCCCAGTGCCCACCTGCCCAATGCCCCCTCCTGTCAGGGAGTTGTGCAGAGCCAGAAGGTTCCCCCTGAGCCTCCTTTTCTCCAGGCTGAACCCCTTTCCCAGCTCCCTCAGTCTCTCCTAGGACTTCACAGAATTCACAGAATGACTAGGTTGGAAGAGACCTTCAAGATCATTGAGTCCAACCCATGTCCTAACACCTCAACTAGACCATGGCACCGAGTGCCATATCCAGTCTTTTTTTAAACACATCCAGGGATGGTGAGTCCACCACGTCCCTGGGCAGACCATTCCAGTACTTTATTTACATTTACATTAATTGACGTTTCCAGCCCCTTCCCCAGCTCTGTTCCCTTCCCTGGACACACTCCAGCCCCTCAATGTCCTTTCTGTCATGCAAGGTGCCGTTGATCTTCTTGCCCACCTGGGCACACCTGACTCGTGTTCAGCTGCTGCCAAGCAGCACTCCCAAGTCCTTTCCCAGCAGGTACTTCCCAGCTGTACCAAGCCTGGAGCTGCCACGGGATGCTGTGACACAAATGGGAGATCCAGCACTGGTTGCACCCTGTGTGCAGCTCAGGACACTGCTCTTTGCTGTGTCCTCAAGACAGCTAAGCTCTTTGAGGCCTTAATATCCATCTATTTAGAACTCTTTTGACATTTCCCAGGCTGCAGTGAAGAAGTTTCATTTACAGTTGCTTTTCCCTCACTCCTCCTTGCACCACAGTCACTTCACTTGCAGGGAAAACCACCCTTACTCTTCATATAAAAGGAAAACATTTTAACCCGTGTTTTGCACTGTGAGGGACTGAGGGAAAGCTGTTTCTTCCCTCTGAGGGGAGGTCTGGCAGCTTGGCTGTGCCAGGGAGGGACTGTGGAGAAGGAAGGGATGGCACATGGAGCAGCCTGTTCTGAGCCAGTGTCCAGTTGCTCTGAGCACACTGGGGTGGCATCTGCTCGGATCAATTGAGCTCCCTCAGCCCCTCCAGGACATCACTCTGCCCTGCCCTGCCCTGCCTGCCAGGCCCAAGGGCTCTTGCTGGGATCATGTCCATGAAGGAGACTGAGAACATCTCTATTGAAACTCAGGAGGCAAAATCAGCCAGAGGAAACAGTGCCACTGTCAGGACTGGGACTGCTGGCTTGGATTTCATTCTGCAAATCCAGTCCTCTGGGTTTTGATACACAGCCATGTCAGGACAGGACTCAAACTTTGGAGAAGGGAACAAGAAGGAGTTTGTGTCTACATTCTGCCTCTCAGTAGGCAGAGGATACAGATCCATTTCTTTATTTCAGTATAAGATTCATCTGTCTTGGTTTTTACCTTTTCCTTCCATCTTTCATGAATTTCAAGTCTGCTTTTGGATTTTTTTTTTAAGATTGGAGGTTTTCGCATGGGCTGGACTTGCCTGTTTCCTGGGGCATCTGAATCGTGATTAGGTTTTTCTGCTGAGTGTTCAGCTGTGGGAGCTGGATGTGGGGGATAAAAAAGGAAAATCAGAGTTTTAAAAATAAAAGAAAATCAGGCTCTTATCTGAGCTCCCTGGCTGTGGTTCAGGCAGAAATAAACAACATAGATTTTGTTGAGTGAGGGACCCAAAAACCAGCAAAAAGCACTTTTAAGCTCTCTTTATCCATCAGAAAGAAATCTTCACTGCCCTCCTTTCCTCTGCCAGCTCTTGGCTGCCACCTGTGAGTCACACAGGCACAATGTACCAGTGATTTTCCCTGCTGTTCTCCAAGCACCAGATACCAAACTCCATTTGCTGGGAAAAAAACTTGCATCTTGTAATTAGGCCTTGCAGTTACTCCCTGTGCTGGAGTAGAGGACTTTGCCAGTCCAAGTTTTTGGAGCTTGTCCTTGAAACAGTGTCTGTGTTTCCTGGGTGGAATCCAATCAGTCTCGTGGCCGTGTGTGCTCTGGGCAACCTCCTCTCCCAAAAGGCTCCTGGTTTGTATTTGCAGAGGTGTGTGAGTTAAGGGCAGCTGTTCCAGATATGCTCCACATCACAGAATCCTAGAATGCCCTGAGTGGGAAGGGACCCACAAGGATTATGAGTCCAACTCCTGGTCCTGCACAGGATACCCCAATAATCCCACCTTGTGCCTGAGAGCCTTGTCCAAATGCTCCTTGAGCTCTGGGAGCCTTGATATCCCCTTCCATTATTAAATGCTTCAGGTTGAAGTGGATGGAAGGGGCTCAGGGTGGGCACCCACCCTGCCAGTCTGATTGCTGGGCACCCCAGGGTGAAACTCTGTCAGCATCCAGGCCTCTTGGGGGTTCATTCCAGGACTTCTTCCCAAGGGGAATTGAACTCTGCAAACAAAACACTGAGCAAGGAGCCAATAGGTCACCCATGGCCAAGGGGACAAGCTCCTGGCATGGCTTTGCTGCTCCTGCCTCTGGAGCCCCAGGGGGGCTGGCGGGGATGGGTGTGAGGCGCTTTCCCACCTCCTGCCCGGGGTGGTGACTTGTTCCTGTCCTTCCCTGTCTCTGCAGGCCCAGAGGAAGCAGCTGTGGGTGGCCCTCATTGAGAAGGCGCTGGCCAAGCTGCACGGTTCGTACTTCGCCCTCCAGGCCGGGCGTGCCATCGAAGGCCTGGCCACGCTCACAGGGGCCCCCTGCGAGAGCCTGATGCTGCAGGTCAGCTCCACTAACCCTCGCGAGGAGCCCATTGACACTGACCTCATCTGGGCCAAAATGCTGAGTTCCAAGGAGGCTGGGTAAGACCAAGCAAGAGCAGGGACACTGGAGAGGGGGGTGAGGGGGAGCATTCTTGTATTTAGAGGCACAGGAGAGGGGTTACTGCATTAGCTGGTGCGGAGTCCACCACCCTTGCCACTCTGGAGCATTGGTGGACCTCCCATTCGAAGCTCTAAGAAATTATTTCTCCTGTGAGTAATTCTCATATGAAATTAAGAGCCTGGTGAACTTCCCCTGCACGTCACTGCTGTCACATGGGGCCACATGGATGGATAACTCCCAGCACATGGTGTCCCCCTAAACCTGACTGGTGCAGACCTCCTGCCCCAAATAGCATCCTCACCCCTGCCAGCTTGTCTAGCTGATGGACCACCTGCCTTTCTCAGTGGCTTTCTGCCAGCCAGCAGAAGCAGGCAGGATCGTGGAGCCTGGCAGAAATCGGGGGAGGTTTGGGGCAAAGCTCCTCAGTGCAAAGCAGCTCTCCTTGGAGCCTGGGCTCAGCATGCACATGGGTAAGGGAAGTGAGCTCTGGCCAGCGGGGCTGGGCACTGCCTGGGGAGTGCTGTTGATCCCAATACTGTTGTTGCAGAGAGGGAGCATCCAGGAGTCTCCTGGAAGGAAGCTGTCCCATACCTGGTGTGATAGGGATGAGCTTCCCCCCAGGCCAGGCCTGGCAAGACCCCGAGGGTTTGCTGTCCCCGTGCAGGTTCCTCATGGGTGCATCCTGTGGAGGAGGCAACATGAAGGTGGATGATGTGGCCTACGAGAGCATGGGGCTCCGACCCCGGCACGCCTACTCCATCCTGGACGTGAGGGATGTCCAGGGCTTCAGGTGAGCTCAGGCTGGAGCCTGCCATGGCACTGCCCTGCTCCTGCCAGCAGAACACCTGGGGACAGGTAGCTAAGGGCCTGGTGAACAGGACCCTGGGGACTCTTTTGTGTCCCATCCTCATGGCCAGCAAGGATGTGTCCATCCTAGAGTATCACATAAATGCTATTGTCATATAAGCTGTCCTTGCCTGGTGCTGGCTCCATGTCCAGGGGTAGAGTGTTTCACCTGGACTCACAAGATACAGAGGACTGAGTTGAGCTGTCCACTTCAGTGAGGTGCTTAGAGCCTATTGCTCACCTTTCAATGGAGGGGGGGATAGAAATGGGTGCCACCCTGACAGCTGGGCTGCTGTAGGAAGCTGTCTTTTCAGCTATGTCACTCTCAGCAGCCTATCCCCTGCTGAGCCCCTGCACCCCACAGCACCTGGCTGAGCCCCTTTGGGCAGGGAAGGGCAGAGGGAGCAGCAGCAGCAGATCCAGAGCCGCAGGACAGGGGCATCTGGGGCCACGATGTGGGTGACAGTTAGTTCTGGGATGCTGAGAGGGCTTTGGAAGGCAGGAGTGATGGGGTGTCCTTTGTTGGGGGGGCAGGCTGGGTCTTTCCTCCCTCCTGGGTCTGTGACACTTTTCCCCTTCCCCCAGGTTACTGCGGCTCCGGAATCCCTGGGGCCGCTTCTCCTGGAACGGCAGCTGGTCTGACGAGTGGCCGCATTGGCCACTCCCCCTGCGCCACGACCTGATGCCCCATGGCAGCAGCGAGGGCGTCTTCTGGATGGAGTACAGTGACTTCATCAAGTATGGCACCGCCAGAGGCAGAGCTGTGGGATGGGGAACAGGGCAGGGATGGAAAACGGGACACAGGGTCAGGATGGGGCAGGCGGGAGCAGTCATCCCTAGGGAATGTGGGTGTCCTGCAGCATGCAGGGTGCCCATTGGGACTGAGCCCACCTTCCCCACAGGTATTTTGACTCCGTGGATATCTGCAAGCTCCATTCAGACTGGCACGAGGTGCGTGTGCAGGGCATGTTCCCCAACAAAGCCAACGGGCCCGTGACGGTGACGTCGCTGACGGTGTTGGAGCGTGCAGCTCTGGAATTTGCCCTCTTCCAGGAGGGCAGCAGGTGAGCTGGGCAGAGCAGCGAAACTGGGGGGGGGCTCAGCCTGCAGAAAAGGAGGCTCAGGGGGAACCTTCTGGCTCTGCACAACTCCCTGACAGGAGAGGGCAGCCAGGTGGGGGTGAGGCTCTGCTTTCAGACAGGACAAGAGTAAACGGCCTCAAGTTGCACCAGGGGAGGTTTAGATGGGATATTGGAGAAAATTTGTTCACTGAAAAGGTGGTTAGACCCTGGCACAGCTACGCAGGCCATGATGGAGTCCCCATCCGTGAAAGGATTTTAAAACCTTATGGATGTGGTATTTGTGGACATGGGTTAGTGATGACTTTGGCAGTGCTGGGTTTATGGTTGGACTTGAGGACTTAGAGGACTTTTCCAACATTAATGATGTCGCAATTGTGTGATTCTGTGGGCCCAGAAGATATCCAAGCACACTGACATCTCACCACATGGCATCCCCCAGGGTCACAGAACTCACGATGGGCCCCCATCACCACCTCTCCAAATCTTGGGAACTGCTTATGTTTAGCTGGAACCCAATTCCTGAATGCAGGGCTGGTTCCTGGGGCTGGATAACTGGGGCAGTGGGATAGCTCCTCCCTGGCTCTGCTGCCTGTGTCTTGGGTGACGTGTGACCCTTTCTTCCTGGCACAGGAGGTCGGACACAGTGGACAGCCATTTGCTGGACCTGTGCATCATGGTTTTCCGGGCCACCTTCACCAGTGGCAACAAGCTGAGCCTGGGCCGGCTGATGGCCCACAGCAAACGAGCCGTCAAGAAGTTTGTTAACTGTGACGTGATGCTGGAGCCGGGCGAGTACGCCGTGGTGTGCTGTGCCTTCAACCACTGGAGCACTGCCCTGGCCAGCCCTGCTGCCCAGGGTGAGGGGATGAGGGGCCTTGGGGGAGGGAGAGGTGCTAAAGCCCTTGGTCCTCATCATGGAGACCTTCTTGAGGGTGAAGGTTGCCTGTTGCATGTTGCACATACATCAACCGAAGAGCACCATGCTCCTGGGGGTTGTGGGCTTGATGACAGTTCCCTGATCCCCCTTCCTCGGTTGTCTCTGCAGCTTCCAGTCCCACCAGCAGCCGACCAGCCACTGATTATTCCAGCTACATCCTGGCCATCTACAGCTCCCGCCTGGTGATGGTGGAGCAGGTGGAGGCACAGCCCACCACGCTGGCAGATGCCATCATCCTGCTGACTGAGAACAAGGGCGAGCGCCACGAGGTGGGTAGGGGGCACAGGGAGAGGGGGCTGCAATGGGGAGGGGGGTGATGCTGCCAGGGGGAGCCTGGACCTGTGTGGTCCTTGGGCAGGGCTGTGCCAGCTCTGGATGCCATCCTGGATGCCCACCCCCTTTGCTCCCTGGAGCAGCGTGTAGCACCTCAGCCGATGGGCAGCCCTTGGCTAGAGGGGAAGATGCCAGTGCAGAGGTTTTGATCCAGGGTGCCCAGAGGCTTCATCCCCTTCCCTGCTGTCTGGCCCAGGGCCGTGAGGGGATGACCTGCTACTACCTGACCCACGGCTGGGCAGGGCTCATCGTGGTGGTGGAGAACCGGCACCCCAAGTCCTACCTGCACGTGCAGTGCGACTGCACCGACAGCTTCAACGTGGTGTCCACGCGCGGCAGCCTCAAGACACAGGACAGCGTCCCCCCCCTGCACAGGTCCGGGGTAGGCAGGGGTGGGTCATGGATGCTGCCATGGGGCTGGCAGGAGGCTGGGAGAAAGGCAGAGCCAGGGCTGGCAGGGAGGCATGGACAGGATGGGATTGTTGAGACAGAGGTGGGATTGCCAGGACAGAGGTGGGATTGCTGGGTCAGAGGCTGCTGCCCTGAACCCCTGACTCTCTCCACAGGCAGGTGCTGGTGATCCTGTCCCAGCTGGAGGGTAACGCTGGTTTCTCCATCACGCACCGCCTGGCGCACCGCAAAGCCACCCAGGCCTTCCTCAATGACTGGATGCTGACGAAGGGCACCCACAACCCGCTGCTCACGCCCGAGGTGGCCGGGCTGCACGGCCCCCGGCCCCTATGACGAAGAGCTCCCCCTCCCCACCCCCCTGCCCCGTTCCTGTCACCGAGCCGCTGGCCCGGGGTGCCCCCCTAAGCCACCAGCGCTGAGCTGTGGGGCACCCCCAGCACTTTGCCCCACTCTGCGGGGCCGGGGCGAGTTCTCAGGGCGAGCACCAGCCCTGCTCGCTGCCCCCCGCCCTGGCACCGCTGCCCTCCACGCACTTTACAAGGAGCAGCTGGGGGCACGGGGCCATCTCAGGATCCCACCTGCCCCGTACCTGTGCTGGGCCCGGTGCCCTCTGCCCGCCCCGGGGACTGTGGGAGAGGGAGGGGCTGGAGGTTGCTGTCAAGACCCTTCCCAGGCACCACGCTCAGGACTCTGGCCCTTCCCGTGGCGCCAGGGCACTGGCGCTGCAAAAAGAAGAATATACCTCTGATGTCTGTCCGTCTGTGTGACCCTCCGTCTGTCCCCGGGCCCTTCCCACTGTCTTGTTGCCCCCTTTGTCTGCTGCCAGGACCAGCGTGGTGGTGAGGTTGGGCTGGGGGATGCCAGGGTCACACTGCCATGGTGCCACCTATGCCAGGGACCCCCCCACCCATCCTGGGTGCTGGGGCTGGAGGGAAGAGGGCACGGGGTTGTTGCAGAAAGCTGCTGCTGAGGGGGTTTGGCTGTAATTGGGGTGAAACTCAGAGGTTTCATCACCTCCTCCTCGGCTCAGGGTGGGGAGCGAGGCCTCGGGGTGTTGCTGGCGGGGGCTGTGGTGCCGGGGCCCCTCTCCCTGTCACACAAGTGTTACTATGCAAAGGCGGGAGCAGTGCCTGCAGAGAAGCCATGGCCCTAGCTGGGCTCAGCCCCCGGCACTGCCCTGTGAGCCCCCCCGTGCCCCATGGAGGAAGGGTGGGCAGCAGGTACAGACCCCAGGTCAGAAAGCAGATCCCTGGACTTAGCACGAATCCATGTATGGGGAGGGGGTGGTTTTGGGGGGGAAGCTGAGAGCCCCCTCCAGAGCCCGAGGGCTGTGGGAGGCAGTGAGCACAAGGTGGGTGCTGCTGGCCCTGTGGGTGCTCCGAGGTGGGGACTGATCCTGGAGGGAGCTGCACCCCACGTTTTCAGGGCACTGTGGCTCTCTGACTTGATGTGTGTGAGTGTGTGTGTGTGTGTGTGTTTTGGGGGTCCTCCTGTGTACTGTCTCCTTCCTGAGCTGTGTGGACTTACAGCTGAGGAGAGGCAATGCTGGACCCTGTTCTGGCAGGGACCATGCTGGGGGGTCTTGCACCCCAGATCCTGCACCCCAAACCCTGCACCATCAGCTGGGCTGGGCAGGGGGTGTGGGGGGCTCTGCCTGACCTGTCCCTCTGTGTCCCCCGGGGATTGGGGGGTGGTGGGGGTGTGGGCTGCCCTGGCACCCTCCCAACCCCCCAGCCAGGGCTGCTGAGCCAAGCTCTGTCCGTATTTCTGTTTGTTGATCTGTTTTCTCTCTTTCCAGCCCCTTCCTCCTTGGGATGATTTGTCCTTCACTTTTTTTTCTCCTCTCTGTCTTTCTGAGCTGTGAATATTTTTAACCCTGTAAATACTGTCCAGCTCTTCAGAATCATAGGATATTTTATCAATTGTAAATCAGATCAGTAATCCCTGTATGATACGAATTATCCATGGGTGGTTTTCAAACTCAGGTTCTGATGGACCAAATAAAGTTTTGTTTTTTACTGAAGCCGCCTGGTTTTGGTGTGGAAGAGACAAAAGGGATGAGTGGGCTGGGTCTTGAAGGCGTTTCCGTGGAGCAATGACAGTCGGTGCTGGGGGGAGAGCTGAGCACCAAAAAAAGGGGAATTCGAAGTTGTTTAGCTGCACTTCGGGGTGCGGGAGTGCAGAAAGGGGCGGGAATAAAGCAAAACAAAAACAAAATCCAGAAATTCCCATTAAATGAGCGTTGTTCTCTCGCAGGGCCGAGCAGGGCTGTGCCGTGGCCGAGAGAGGGCACCCACCATCCGCCCGGATGCTCTCCCGCTCCTGCCTCAGGTTTCCGCACCCATTCCGTGCCGGGCAGCGCGGTGGCCGTGCCCGCCGCATCCCCGGCACCGTGCCCAGGCTGGGATGGATGCAGGAGCAGCTCTCTCCCCGCAGCAGCCAGGGCAGCACCCCTGCTCCCTGCCGTGCCTTTGTCCGGCGGCGGGGCCGCCTGGCGCTGGGAGAACTTTCCGGCTGAGTGGAGGCGGCCGGCTGCCAGCTCGCTCTCGCCCGAGGTGGGCACCTTGAGACCAGTAGGGAGAGACAGAAGGAGAGGATTTCGGTCTTTCTTTCAGCAACTTGTAATAGATTTTTCCGGGCGAAACATCTTTGCATTCAGGAGGCCCTGTCACAAGCCATCAGCCTCAGCCAGGGAGAAACAGATGGAGAGTTAATTTTGGCGGGGAGGGCACTGCCACGCTCCCTCCTCTCCCTCAGTCTGTTCAGGGAGAGGAGCCGGGTTTAACCCTCGCGGCCGTGCCGCCCCTCGCTGCTGCCTCCTGGCCATCCCGAGGGTTTGTGGGGCCACCACGGGTCCTCCCGCCCCGTTCTGTGCCAAGGACACGCCGGGACATCTCAGTGCAGTGACCTGGTGGTGGCTCTTGCCGTGACGACCAGCCCGGTGGGTGATCGTGTCCTGCCTTCCCACGGCCACGGCTCCACATCCTGCTGAGCCCCGCGCCTGCCAACGCACTGGGAGCAAATCCTGCCATGCCAGGAGGCAGCCGGGGACGCTCGGGTGGGCTGGTGGTGGAGGGGACACCATCTCCCAGGAGAAGGCACGCGCGCGGAGAGCAATGATTCTGTCTGAAACTTTGGGAGCCCTCAGAGCACCCCCGACATCACGGACCGGGCTGAGAGCTGCGGTGTAACCGTGGAAGGGGTGGAAGTGAAATCAAACCCTAATTGTGCCCGATTCCCAAGGGCTGTGAGGCAGCATTAACTGCTTTATAATTACAAATAATTGTGTGGCAAAAGATAAAATTATACTTGACACATCAGCTCTGGAGGAGGGTGTTGCTTCATCAGGAAATTTGTCATCCCTTGGCTGTCAGTCTTAAGCCTGAGGTCTGAAGGGGGAGACAGGGAGGGCAGAGGGAGCAGCGGGTCAAGAGAAGGATGGATGGACAGCAGGACACTGTGGAGAGGAGACGAAGGAGGAGCGCTGTGGTACCGAGCCGTGTGAAGAGCAGCGGCACGGGTGTGACAGCTGAGGCAGGGAGCAGCCAGCGGCTGTCCCACTGCCCTGGCACGGCAGGGACACCTCACCCGAGGGGCCGTGGCTGCAAAAACGACAGCACGAGTCACCCCAGCGGTGTCCACACACCAGCTCATCTGGTGGGACAGCGTGAGCAGGGCAGGCTGCCAGGGCCGTGTGAGCCCACCCCGCTGCTGCTGCCGTCCTGCTGGTCCCCTCCACCCGCAGGGCTGGTGCTGCTCCTCCCAGGCACACACGACGATGCTCGGGCAGATGAAGAGTGGTGAGGAGCTGGAACAGGGTGCTCAGAGAAGCTGTGGCTGCCCCTGAATCCCTGGAAGTGTCCAAAGCCATGTTGGACAGGGCTTGGAGCAGCCTGGGATGGTGGAAGGTGTTCCTGCCCCTGTCAGGGGGTGGAACGGGTTGGGCTTTAATGTCCCTTCCAACCCAAACCAGTTCGGGATTCTCTGAGGCAGTCTCACCAGCACGGTCACCACCCTTTCACCTGCTTTGACCTGAGCCCGGGGAAATGTCTCCCGCGGCAGAGGTGGGAATGTGGGTCCTCGCTGCGAGATCCGGCCGGGCTCTGGCCGCTCGTCAGGTCCTGGCACCGCCGGGACCCAGCGGCTGCTCGGGGAGGGGGCACGTCAGGGAGCGAGGGCTCGAGCGCTCTCTGTGATTCACTCTGACTATAATGGGAGCTGCTGGTGAATATTTTATGGCTCCCACAGGGCAGATAGAACATATTGTGCATTTTACGCCACAAATCTCCGCCTGGAGACAGAGGGAAGCTTTAAAAAGAGCAGCACCAGCGCTGCGATGGGTTGAGGGGGGCAGAGCTGCAGCGCCGGTGCCAGGGTGAGCATCGAAAGGGTGTTGTGGCCCACCTCTACCACCCTCCCTGGGGGTGCCGCTCGGTGCCCTGAGCCCAGCGCCGGCCCGGCCACAGGGGATGCTCTGCGGCCGCAAGCCCAGGCTGCGGTGGGTTGGCTGCGGCGGCTGCGGCCGCTGCCCCGGGCCAGGCCTGGCAGCTCTGCGGCTCTGCGGCGCAGGCGAAGTGCTTTGCCCGGGGCTGAGCCCTGCAGGAGGGTCCCTGCCTGCTCCCCGGCCTGCCTCTCCCTTCGTCAATAATGCAGCCTCTGCCCCGGGCGCCCGCCGGCGCTGCCCGCAATAATGGATCGGGATGGGAGCGGCCCCCTCCTCATCCTCCGCTGGGTCCCGCGCTTTGCCAGGAGGAGCCTTCACCTTGACCGGCGCCCGCCGCTGCCGCTGCCCAGGCGGCAGGCACAGGGATGGGGGTTCCTTGCAGGCAGCCCGATCCCCACCCCAGCACCTTCGGGCGGAGCGGGCGCCGCTGGGCCAGAGTTCCCGGCTGGCCGCACTCAGGAGGGACACAGGGCACGGCCATCACTGCCACCGTGTGCCAGGGAGGGACCCCCAGCCCTGCTGGAAGGGCCGTGAGTGCACGGGCGAGCTCTGAGCGCCTGGGTGCTCATCCTGCTCCCCTCGAGCACGTTCCAGTGCCAGACAGGGAAACATCGCCGATCTTGCAGATGCCTGCACCCACCTGGGCTGGAGTGGGGGAAGGGATCTCGGACCACGACAGCAGAGGGAAAGAGGAGGAGGAGGATACAGGCACCAGTGGGTCAGTGCCAGCCCACGGGTGCTGCTCTAGGTGGTGAGCGGCCCTTTATCCTCCCACCCTGGAGACCCCCAGCAGCCCCCTAGCCACCACCCAGTGGGATGAGGGTGCTTGGGGTCGGTTTCTTCCCCCTTCAGATGAGGGAGAAAGCCCCTGAAATCTGGGTCACGCCCAGGCTACCTGGAAAGCAGTTCCCAGTCCCCTGACAAGGCCGTGCAAGT